GAACACTTTTCTACGCTGCTGATGACGCAGATTAGCCGAACTGTATCGAAACACGAAACGTGCATAATCCTAAGATGCCCACCTCCGAAACTATTTCAATAGGCAGAACCTGGACAGGATGGTTCAGGTCAGTCGTGTTAATAAGTACAAATTCTTCCTCTGGAAAGCAGTTTTTTCAAATCCTCAATCCACCAATTTCCAGCATTAGCTCCTAAAAAAGCGTATCATTTCCATTATGGGAACATGCCAAGTTTTCATGAACTTGGTACGTTTAAAGTATGGTAAAGTGGGGGGCGAATCTAATAACGGCGTACAATCGGATTTTCTGTGTATTAGAGAAGAAAAGGAAGAGTTCTTCAGCGACCCGATAGAAGATTTGCATTTTGATGAAAATAAGATTACCACACTAGGCGTTGCTGACTTTTCATGCGAATTCCGCAGCTAAAATACCTTCTTGCATCGACCCATCACTACACCCCACTGCGGTCTTTGACAACGCACTGATGCTGAAGCGTTTGCGATCAGACTGCCCAGCTCGACTAACAAACCAAAGAACATACTTCAAATGCTTAAAGATAAACAAAATGAATAACGGGCATCTGAGCACTCGTAAATCGGGTAGTGGATGACATTAGAGCAATGCTGGCTTCCTCCATAATAGCTCACTGTATAAACACTGTTTTATCGTCAACACAACGAACAGAAAAAACCGTTAAGGTACACCAAAGATTGGTCTGCAAACAAACCTATCATAGTTCCAGAGTAGGAAGCCATTTAGTTCCTCATTCAAATTGGCGGCACTCGTGGTATCATCTTTTCGAAATTTCACTCTCCCGGAAAAGTAACCTTCGGTAAGGGAAATTCAGGTGACCAACGGAAGTGTATTTGCATGGCAAAACCCAATCCAATCAGCTCAAACTCGCAAAACAAATCGCCTTTGATCACTTCTTTGAGGGGGTCTGTACAGTTTGAGAAGCATAAAAAGAAGAATGCTAGGCTTGAGATAATAATTCACCTGGGTAACATGCCAACCACTGTCGCGAGTCGCCGTAAACACCCCATTTAATGTAGCCTATTAATGTAGTCTTTTCTCAGAGGGGGGCAGCATCGTCGGATCCATAATCATGGACACGTTGTTTGGCTAGATAAACATCTTACTGCTCTCAAATTCCTAGCACTAAGGATAGTAAAAACATTAACATCAGACCGCCTCGTATTGGGATTCCTCACAGTACTGGGGGCTTGGTGCCATTTGCATGATTGCTCAGTATGGCTTTCTGCGATGAATGAAACTTGAGGAACTAAGTTCCAGCTACCTAAGCCCGGTGGATAATTACAGCACTCTGAACTAATGACTAATTCAAATGGTCAAATCACCATTCTGTATATATTAACGACTTTGCTGAGAGTGCATCTATTAGGTTAGCAGTGTAACTTACTACAGAACTGCAAGACAATCGTTTAGATTGTTTTTTATTATTTACTGCTTTCACGGTTTTTTCCGGTAAGGATTAGCATGCACAGCTTAGGAAATCCTCACTATGATGTGATCATTAGTAAAACCCTTCTGGTTCAGATAGATCAGATGTTTCAGCAACATGGCACTGGGAGATTTTCAAGTAGAGAATAAATAAACGACCTCTGTAATTAGCTTGCGGTGTCATCAGGAATCTCTTCTTTGCGAAGGCGGATAGCTTCATCCAAACTGACACACTAACGAAGTTGGAGGCAAATAAGGCCAGACGTGACAATAATTGGTGATAGAACCATGTGGTGATATCTACCCACTCGTCAGTGGCCCGGGCTGTTTAGACGTTGCGGAAGGTCAGCCCGAATGCTTTTATGAAGGCCATGATGGGAAAAATGAGCCTTCGATTTAGCGTCGATCCAAGGCATGCCAGCGATGGAGCCTTCAGTACAATCAACCTACTGCCGAGACGCCTTGTAAACAAAGATTAACTGCCTGTAGCTGTGCCTGTTAGAATAAAGTTGAATCCACTATATTTTGTATACGTAAGCAAATAAGCGGAGTCAAGGTCAAATGAAACTTCAAATCACTCGTATTGTGCTGTTTTTTTCTGCCGAATTGCTAATCCATTTAAAGTACAGCGTGTCTTCTTAGGCCGTGCTCGCAATAAATGCGAAGGATAGTGCAACTCTGTATCGGTCCCTTGGCTTCCTGCTCCGCCCGATATGGCATACCAGAAGGCACGGTAGCTCTACACAGCCCTTTATTGAGACAAAGGAAAATTATTACAACTGTGTTTATAGGGTAGTCACGGAGTGTTCCACAAAGTCGTGCCAGAATTTCCGCGAGAGGGCGAGAAGCTTCGAGTCATAGGCGCTTGACTCGGATTGGCTGTCATTCTGACCAATCAGGGCACGCCTTCATTTGGCCCGTGTCCTGCAAGTGACATCCGTTTAAATTATTTGATGTTCGTTATTAGGGACGGCTGGCCTCCGTGCACCTTCCGCTTGAGAAGGCTGTTCAACGGACTGCTGCTTTGAACTCCAATGTGACGACTGATGGAGGTTCTGTCGCATGTCGGTCTGTCCCTGGAGCTGCCAGTATGCTGATCTGGGATCTGCTAACCTCCAATTGAAAGGTATGTCACGGATGTCCGGCGACTTGGTCCCCCAACCGAACCGTATTCTGTTGCCTGAAGTTGGTTCACTTCACGCGACTGTGCTGATGATCTTACGTGTGCCTCGCGTTTNTATCATCCCTTCAAGAAGTATTGGAGAGAGTTTAGTTAACGAGTTGGACCAGTCCACATTCACAGTCTCATCAGGACGGGACTTTCCGGTGAGATAATTATATAAATGCCGAAAGGTGTGCTGTTGCACGTATTGCGAAAGTGAACATTCTGCTGCCTTCAGTTCTTCAAGCCGCAGAAAGCAAAGTGAGAGCACACCCTTCTTTTCTTTATTTAATTTTACGCGAACGTACAATAAGAATCACGCCATTCATGCTATGGCTCGTTTCAGCCCAGTCCACGAACAGTAGTAAGAGAGGAGTTTTTCAAATGCTAATTCTCCAAAGACAGTAGTGCTCTGAACGTTGAATTCTTTAACCCCAAGTTTTGGTATATAATCGGCAAGACATTCAACATTGATTTCTTACCACGTGTGCTCTGGGCTTTGTAGAAAGACAAAGCAGTTTCGTGGAGTCGAAAAGGCAGTAAAACGACGATGATATAGTTTTTCGCGTCAGGTCCGGAAAATAAGCAGTCGTTAAGCGAAACGCAGTCGAAAACTATACGAAATTCTCCAGGCTTTTGGTGGTTGAAGACGGGATGATGCGTGATGAAGCGCAAGCCTTCTGATGAACCACGTAGCGACCGACATACCCTTTTCTTTCGCAGATAATTAGGGTCTCGGTGTAGTGTCTAAAAAGCCATCATCCCTCATCATGCAATGTTTCAAATAATTGAGCCGATTATCCGCTACATTCAATTTACTAGGTAGATTTTTCCGGTTGACTTTCCGAGGCAGCAGCACCTGGTAGTGACCGTCCAACAAGCTTACAGACTGCTCTGTGTTTCATGATCTCCTTGTCCCTGAAGATAGTGATTTATCTGTACTTTGACTTTCGTTGAAATCCGATTCAAACATGCTCAATGTGCGATCCTTATCAGTGCGTTCTGTACTGAGGCAATTCACTAATATTCATTTGGGCAATGCAGGAGGTGCTGGTCCAAAACTTACTCAACTCAAGGCCGTTAGATATGTGCAGGGATGTTTTGGAGAACCCAGACGTTGCTCGACAACCCACTGGGCCTCAAATACATTAGTTCATATCAAAACCGGGAAGTTCGTTCCAGGAATTCGTGCGGGTTGAACGTCCGCAAGGTGCGTTCATTTTCTCAGCAGTGAATCATCCGGAAAGGAAGCTTTGGCGATAGGAAATAACCCAATAGTGTGGGCACAGTCGATGTTGACAACATACACGTCATGCAAATATTGCATGGCAAGGCTGGCGGTCACGGTATCCTTGATATCTGGTCCATTTACCGATGATACTTCTACGAGCGCCGCTTTCACTCTGTTTCAAGCTGGTTTGCCGCGCCTGCTGTTACTAGGGTGGTGTCACATCCTTTGTATAACAGAGCATGAGTTGGCAGAGTCCCCATTGGGAGAGTCAGCCGAACTGCTACGAAACCAAGGTAGCCTCCCAACTAATGTTGAGTTGAATTTGGCAACTTTCGTTGCATTATTAACTATACGCTGTGTGTCGCGAAGCAAACGGTGATGTCGTTGTGTGCACTTCGCCACATCGCAACGTGTGGGG